CTCTGCTGCGATGGCCAGTGCATCCTTCCGGTCGAAGCCGTCGGCCTGCTGGGTGTACAACTGGATCAATGTCATGGCCACTTGCACCGTGTGCGCCAGCTGAAAGTTGGACAAACAGCTGTCTTCCGTACTTGTATCCTGCGCGAAGGGGGAGTGTCGAGGGTGGCAATAAACCTTTAACTTTCAGTGGCCAATTTGTTTGACAGCAGTATTTCAAGTGTAATTTTTCAAGGTTGAGTGCAAGCAAATCAATTTGCAGAGCGGGTACGAAGTACGTGCAGGTTGGTCAAACTCCGACGGCGGAGGTTGCAGATTGGTGCCGCCCGAGAAACCCCGCCACGATAAATTAATAATAATGTCGTGAGATGAATTTACAGCAGTGTAGATTATTACAGACCTCAGAGCCCCCAGGTTCGAGCACGGCATGCGTGAAGAAAAAAGAGGATCACACTTAATTTAGACTGTGTAGACTACTGCCCTCACATCGTTCGTCTCCGCGGCTGCGCTGATCGTCTTCGCCACATCACTCACAACGCCGTCGAGGACCTCGATGCTCTCAGCGCGAAACTCGTCCGCCGCTGCCGCCAGCACCCGAGCTTTCATCTCCGCCCCTTTCGCACGCCTAATCTTCTTTGCAGCTTGAGATGTGCTGTACGTGCCCTTGTTCAGGTATCTCCTCTTCGCCTCTTCGGCCCACTCGGGTTCGAACTCTATCCACGCCCGCACGACTTCTTCCAGACTGCTTGCAGTGAGGTTGAATGCCCCAGGAACGGCCTCCTCTAGTTCCTGCCGAAGTGTCAACGCACGCATCCGCCGGGCCGCCCTCCCCAACTTTCCAAAGGGCCGCCCACTGTAGTCCCGTTGTCCACCCCAATTTGGATCTCGCGATCTTTGCGCGCCTGCGAGACCGGGTTCTTGTAGTGAACCAACGGCTGGCGCTGCGGCTCGAACTGCGGGTGCTGTTGAATCCCGCGGTGGTGCTCTCTGCACCGGGGCGTACGCTGAGTTCTTGAGTTGAACGGCATCCCAGTCAGCAGCAGTCACCTCGTCTATGATAATTCCCTCCGCGACGGCGTCGCGGCCGCGTGGCTTCCCAGACGTGATCCAGCGGCTCCGCCATTTCAACTCAGCATTGTTGGCTCGCGACCTTGAGTGCAGCACTAACCGATACTTTCGTGGCTTCTGTCTCTCGATGCTGAGCTTGTCGCGCAGCGTGTATCCGTCGGGAACCAACTGCTGCAGGCAGGAGACCCTCTCTTGGTCGAGTTCCATTTGGTTGCCGGTCTTCAACAACATGTGTCCGGCGGCTGTGTGCGACGCGGCCCAAGCGGTGGCTCGGCTGCGATTTTTTTGAAATTTGAAACTTGGATTATTTCTTATTTCTGTCTAGGGCCTGGCAAAAAAGAGTTCTGAACCAGGTGATTTAGAACCAGTTCGTTTCAAGGATTCCAAATACATATATTAAGGAGAAATAAATACACGCACAGAAAGACTACCCATTCGAGATATACCCACAGTCGAACGGGATGTGGTGGAGTCTTTTCAGTAAGTGGAGGAAAACCGGCTGGGTACTGGAAACTTATTTCGAGTCTTTATGAGTCTATACGCTGATGATTTATCAGTGATGCCAGCTGGNTATTTCTTATTTCTGTCTAGGGCCTGGCAAAAAAGAGTTCTGAACCAGGTGATTTAGAACCAGTTCGTTTCAAGGATTCCAAATACATATATTAAGGAGAAATAAATACACGCACAGAAAGACTACCCATTCGAGATATACCCACAGTCGAACGGGATGTGGTGGAGTCTTTTCAGTAAGTGGAGGAAAACCGGCTGGGTACTGGACTTATTTCGAGTCTTGATATGTCTATACACTGATGATTTATCAGTGATGCCAGCTGGTGCTAAGTACAAAAACATCTGTATATTGTAGGTAAATCTACATTTTACATTACATCCCCTGTGGTTCTCTGCTGGGTCAACGACAAAATATCGGGGAGAATCCCTCCGTAGTGTCGTGTACTGTAAGGTGTAACCTGCACAGGGGACACGGCATATTTTTTATTTTTTTTCACAGCGGTGGTGGGGGCACGACAAATCGTAGTTTACCGGTTCCGCCGCGTTTTTGGTGAAACGGTATATTCGGCATAAGTCGTCACCAAGATGTCTGTGAAAGCTAAAAGTGGGTTCATTCGAAAGCCCTGGTTCATAGCTTTCGAATGTATATGTTGTTGGGTAAATAACCAGGCCCTAGAGAGAAATTTATCAAGTGTCATGTGGGCGGGTCCAGGAAAACTACTACTTTATTGGGCAGAGAACGGAACGGTTTTTCATGTGAAGACAACAGCACATATTTGTACCACCTTCTTTCCGATACCCATGCTCAGCTCGAGACGCCGCCATCGTTCCAAGACACAAACGGCACTTGAAACGAGAGGGGATTTCGGAGTCTTCTGCAGTACTCCTCCCTACGAACAATTGTAGTAGTGCGTTTCTTCGTGTGACGCCATCGTACACAAACAAGGACACAAACGGCACTTGAAGAAAAAAAATCAACTAGGAAAGAAGCAGCCGTGGGCACACGGGCAGCTATTTTCATACCCTATTCCTGGCCCAAACACATCTGATGTGAGGTGGACGGTGCTACAGGTTGGCATGCACTGGAGGGCTGGCAGAGTAGGCTACTATGGTGCGTGCGGCACTCGCGTTCGGATATGAGACCACCAAATGCTACTGATTCCGACTGTCGCGGGCCAAATGCTGAGCTCTTTTGCGACGCAAGGTGTGAGAACATGTATTCCTGATGCTGTTTAACAGTACATCTAAAGGTACGATACGTGGTGAACCAAGGAATTACGCAACAAACGACGAGCAAATCCAACAAGACGGCGAAAAAAAATGGATACTGCCTACCTAAACTCTCTCGATACATCAATACTACGGTACCTGTGAATCAACACGAGCTGTCGTATCAACTCTCTCTCCCCCCCCTCTCCCCCACCACCACCCTGAAAGAAGTCCACGAAACAAAACGGACCAGAGGCGGATCCTAGGGTCGGAGAGGGTGAAAGGTAACCACAAACCCCGAAAACCACGGCTAGCACCGCCGCGAAATGAATGGCAAAACGCACGCTCACATGGCTCAAAAGAATAATATTCCTCTCAGAAGGACTCTCATGCTCGGGCCTTGCAAAGGACAGTTGTGTGCAAGACATACATAGATAGGAAAATAATGCAAGAAGGGACGGAAGAACGAAGACTACCAAACCCTATCATACCGCCAATCGACAACAAACAATGGAAACTGCCAATCGGAAACGAACCATGTGTGAGGTCGTAAATTATAGGACGAACGTACAAATATCACATAGCCCGAAATAATTGAAATTCTCGACGTCGATAACGTTGCAGTTGGTCTCGAACCCTGGTGCAGCAGGCTGCTGCCGGTTGCTCGTTGTCCCCAGCTGCTGCGCCCATCCAACTACTCTCAAAAGTCCTCAAGAAGTGTGTTGTACACAAAGCAAAGTTCAACAGAAAACCGGCGCGCCACAAGAAAACCCATATTTACGGCGGTTACCCGACAGAATCATTCTGCGGAAGCACTCTTTCCAAAGGATTCCTGTGCCGTCTAGACTATGTATGTCCTTGAGTCCTTGAGAGCTGTACTGGGAATCACTTTCAAAATAATAAACGGAGCGTTGTGCTCCCAATCAGTTGGCATGGACAGGCGGACACCACTCCAAAAAATGTTAACCCAAAATTTTAACAACAGCCCGACCGTCGAGCGCTGAGTTGATCCATGGGTCAGAGCGCTGAGTCTATCCATGGGTCATGGCGTCTGTAGCAGGGAAACGGTACCGGCAGCAAGGAGGGATTAGAAGGGCGGCAATGTTTAGTCGCGGCAAGAAAATATCAATCGGTTTTGAGTTGGAGAGTGGATCAATGGTACACATACATACGCCATTTTTCAACCCAACGCGAGATTTCTCCACGTCAAGGATCTACAGAATGTACACCACCCGTCATGATTGTCAAGGACCTACAGAATGTACACCACCCGTCATGATTGATTGCCAACGCCGTACGGTCAACTGTACTACGAAGTACCACGAAGTACCAGACTCCCTCACATGTTGTTTCGAGCATAGGAACTATTTGAGCGCAAAGAAAATCGAAGTACATTTTTTCTCAAAACCTACAAAATATCCTGGTAGACTGGCCCAAAATGGATACAGCGATAAAACACACACACTCACAAGAGTGGTTTTACAAGCAGCTATGCGGCACGGCAAAGTAGTCACTCACACCACATGACGTCGTAGATGTGGGTCTGTTCCACAGTGCCGACCATAAGGTGCGACCACGGGCCCTGAGCGTACACGGCCACGTCTGCATCCAGAACAACAGCAGCGTGTGGTGCGGGCAATCAATCAGTTACAGTAGTCTTCTTCGTGCTAAGCGCAAGGTGAAGAAGTTGTTGCGTTGCTGCAATGTGAAGCGTAGAGCGATCCGTATTGCATCATATTCTCCTCCAACACAAGCTTTGACGGCAATTTGGGCAACATCAACGGACTACGCACAACCACGGGCGAAAGAGAAAAGGATATGCCATGGCCTGTCGAAATTTTTGCGCAATAATACAGCACTTGCCAGCCTTGCAACGCAAGTATGCATGGTCTTTATACGGAGTATTATCCAACTTGCTGTCAGTAATCATTAGCCGCAAGACAGGACCGAAAAACACCCCTTACCAGCGCCAGAGTGGGTCTCGGAACTCAAAGGCACGAGCGATTGCTGTACGTAGTCGGGGTCGGTGGCTTCATCATTGGTCACGTTTGGTCGCATGAACACACCGTCCTCGGACAACTCGCCCAGGTTAGGGCCCGCCTCCTGGATTGATAAAGGAGAAGCAAACAGGATTACGTCAAGCACCAAAATCGTCATGAATGGTCCAGATTGCTGAGAAATATCATCTCGTGCATTGCTATCGGCTTGAAACAAGTTCAAATGCATTCTGGATATTTTTCACCATGTCAAGATGCCGAAGGAACAACCTCCCCAACAAAAGCCATCGGAGTCATGTACAAGATATTTCCTTTTTTGTTCTGAAGCAGATAACGGGAACACCGTGACGCCAGAAAGATATTGTGAAGACACAAAGAACAGCAACAGCAACAACAACAACAGCAACATCAATGGCAAGTCACCTCCTCATCGCCCTCATAGAGGATGGAGCCGGGTCCGTTGCCGACGGAAACGACCGTGTAAGTAGATCCGTCCAAGGCATAGTTAGGCACTCCCATGTGCATCGTGGCCGTCGGATCAATCTCCATGCACAGACCGGTCACGGGGGAGCCGCGTCCGCAATAGCCGTTGTAGGCGATCGCGTGGCCGTGGTCGGCGGTAGAGATGATGAGGGTCTCGGCCGGGTCGGTGTTATCCATGGCGTACTGAACCGCGTCTTGATACGCAACTCCATCCTGGAACCTGTTTTCGGTGTGTACAATCGCAACAAGAATATCCTTTGGTGCTTGCCTGTCACACACACTTTTGCAACACTTGCATGGCTATGACGAATCCGGCGTGTTCCGCCCCGCTCTACAATAAGGATAAACGATAGAGAAGGGAGGGTGCGCCATACAGACGGCATATTAGCGTGCGCCCCTCGCCCCCCCGGTGTTTGCCATCGGGGTTGGGTTTTCGTCGCTTGGCAACGACGTTGTAAAACAAGCCGCCCCCCCCGGTGTTTGCCATCGGGAGTGGGTTTTCGTCGCTTGGCAAAGACGTTGTAAAACAAGCCAATTCACTTCGTGAACTCGGCAACCAGGTTACCGTTCTTTTTTTTTTTTTTACCTCCGTTTTTTTTTTGGCGGTAACCATAATGGTGGTCGAGTAGATCATGTTGTGTGGGGTGGAGAACCCGCTCCGCGCAAGGGGGATGATCGCACCACGTTGTGTTAAAATGGTCAAGCACTCTCGAGGCAGTTACACAGTGCTTACAACTGTCTCTGGAAGTGAAAGCACCAGATAATAAATTTAATCCATACGCAGCTGTCATCCGTATGCAAGGAAGTAAGCACAAGATGCCGAACACCCTTAGCAGGATGCAGCGCACCCTTCATGCGACTCGCCAAATATCTCACGGCGCTTCGCGCTTGGTGATGTGAGAGCCTGGTCCGGTGAGAACCCGGCGTGCTCCGTCCCGGCTTTGTAGGGATGCGAGGTCAATGGTCTAACGACTACGGCATGCACGACTATGAGTACACCCCCCTCCCCCCTGGGCCCGCTTACCCCCTGCCCTCCGGCACGGCGGCAGCTTCCCACTCACGTGCGGTGCATGTTTCCGGCATGGGTGGCGTGATCAACTCGGCCAGCCTCAACCATCAGGTAGTACCCGTCGTGGTTCTTGGAAAGAAACTCGATGGCGGCCTTGGTCATCTCCATGATGGACGGCTCGTGGGAACTTTCGCCCTCGGAGAGTCGGTCGTGGTCGTAGCTCAGGTGGCTCGCGGTGAACAAGCCGAGCACCTTTCCCTCCCTGCTTGATTGGTACACGTCGGAGCGGAGGACGTGACGAGGACGGGACGGGGTGGGGTGTCAGCGAGCGCCAAGAGTAGACACGAACGGGTTGTAAATCAAATCGACCGAGTGTTTTTCTTCTTCATATCTCTCCCTTGGTTATAAAGCGGTTCAAAGGCTTGCCACCCCGAACGTTGTAGGCAGAGCAGCCCCCGCGTTCAAACTATCTAGGAGAGCAGTCCAAAAGGGATCGGTAGAGCTAATATTATCTCTCTCTCTTTTCCTCCCAGGAAGTGAATGCACCAGAAAATAAAGTAATTCATACCCAGCTGT